CAAATCCCCAGTGGGGGGTGTGCAGGAGGCAGCTGATCGATGATTCTCTCTCATCGATGTTTCTAACTCTCTATTCCACTCTCTTCCTTTCTATAAAAAATCAATAAAATATATTTTAAAAAATGACTAAGAGAAATTTTTTACTGATAACAGTTCCATAAACTGAGTTGTCAGATGATAGGGGCTAAGGTAAGGGGCCTAAGAACTTGGAAAAGAGAGTACAATTTTGGTTAAGCCAGCAAAATCACCTATGGTGAATTGGATTAGCCATTATGTGAATCAAGGAAGAAACTTCCTTTCCTGTAAAAGTTGGAACCTGCAAAACTCCTGCTGAGTGATCTAGAGCAATGTTAAGAGTTGCAGTTGAGTAGAAGGATCTTAAGGTTGGCATTAAATTATAATTGTGAACATGGTAGACCTATTTGATTGTACCACGATGTGTCAGAAAATTGATATTGAATAGGAAGGATCTGGTCAGGCATGAAAACAAAAAAAAAATGGAGAATCGCTGAGGCCAATGGTGCAGTGCTCTTACAAGCATCATGTGGGTTTAGCTGAATTCAACAGAGTTCCCTTGGCAAACCTTTCCCTCTGGTGCTTGAGGGGGCCTCAAGCTATACTTGTGAGGGCCTACATGAGAACAACTAGCTCCTCTTTCTTTCAGTCATTGCTCTCCAAGAAAGCACCAAGTAAATGATGGTTTTTCTGTAGACTGGTTTCTAAAGAATCAGGCCCATAGGGAACAAATGCCCAAGGCAGGCAGATCCATGTGATCCAGGTGGGCTGATGTTCTGTTCTTGTTGCAATTTGTAAGCTGGCAGTCTGCTCCTGAGTAAGTCTCTGTGAGTTGGCAAATGTGAGCATGCATCAGTCACGGAATGTTTGAATATCATTGAAGGTGGGTTTCTGTGTTCCTGGGGCTCAGAGGCAGACTAAGGAAACTATGGAAACCTTAGCAACACCCCAGTTCCTGACATGGCAAAACTTAGAAGAACCCTCCAAACCAATGCATGTTAGAACTATAACATCCTCTGGTGATTTTCACAGTTTCTCTTCCAAGGCCTGAGGCCTGAGACTTCCTTAAAACACTATCTTTCAGAAACATGATCTTTAAGCAAACCTCTTCTAATTCAATGACAGTGGGAAGTTGTTTCTGGTGTTCTTGAGAGGCCAAGGTCCCTGTTTTCCTTCAGTAATAATGACAGTGCACTACTTCATTAGAGCTCTCAGAACATTGAATCTTTCCATTCTGATATTCAATTTTACTGTCAAGGCTCAAAATAAACAGACAGCCATTAAATTTAGGTTCTCTGGGAAATAGTCTACATAATCGCTCTAAAATATGCACCAACAGATCAGCGGCTATGCCAACAGATCAGTGGATGCTCTCTGGGGATATCTTGAGGAAAAGTCCGTTGTGTCACTCTCTGAAAGACTGTCAAGAATTCCAAAAGGTCCTGTGGTAACCACTCCAGCAGAAAATATACTAGCCTTGTGGGGATGCTTCAGTGATGCCTACTGCCTACAAGAGGTCTGCTGTTGAATAAATGCTGTTTGCTGCTGTCTACCCTAATCACCACAGATCATCTTCTTTTCTGTGTGAATGACTACAACCCCAGCCGCTGGCAAGACAAGATGACGTCTGCTGAAACGAGTGGCAGAATAGTGTTTCAAACTCTGCCATGCACATAGTGCCTTTGTGTTAATTATGTTAATCATCTTTACATAGTTGACTCAGCAAACAACAGCCTCATCTCCAGTCACGTCGTCATCATGAACTCACCAATACTCTTTGTGCAGCAATGAAGGATGGTATAACAACCAATGCCTAGCTGGTTCGCTGGTTTTATAGGCCAGACAGAATGAAAAAGGATGTAATACTTTGAATTTTTCTAAAAGCGAATGTCACATTATACAATCACTTCTCAGCTGTAGGTGTTACTTTGTATGACAGATATGGTGACTGTTTCTCTAAAATTGAGTGTTCTGCTTCTTAGGGACAAGATTAAAAGATATATCAAAGAGATTTTGGCTGCTTGTCTCAGGTTGGAGAGATTGGCTGCTTGTCTCAGGTTGGCTGCTTGTCTCAGGTTGGGACCCATGGGGTCCCAAAAAGTATGCATGCCTCAACAAGCAAACCAAGATGAGTCTACTCATTCCTGACCACTTCACTCTTTCTGTGGAAATCTTCCATTAATGGAGCCTCTCTCACCTGAGTGAATTTATTGCTCCACTAAAATATAACTGGGAACTAGAAGACTGGGTGCCATCATGTGGGCAACCAGAGGCTTTTCCCATTTCTTAAAAGGATGATCCAGACTTTATCTTAGCCTTCAAAATTATATTACCCCAATCAGTACCAAGAAGGTGGCAAATGCCTAATAGGACAGCATACTTGCTCATTCCTTAGCCAAAGAGATAAGAATCACCATGAAGGTCTTGGCATTTAAATGCTTCAGGGTGTGACCACCTTCTACCAGGCTTGCTAAGATCAGTTGCCCTAGCCAGTTTGGCTCAATAGATAGAGCATTGACCTGTAGATTGAAGGGTCATGGGTTTGATTCAGATCAAGGGCATGTACCTCAGTTGCAGGCTCAATCCCCAGTCCTGGGCATGTGGGGGAGGCAACCAATAAATGTGTATCTCTCACATTGATATTTCTCTCTCTCTCCGTGTCATTCCCCTCTCTCTTCCAAACTTTCTAAATACCAATGGAAAAATATCCTCGGAAAAAGATAGGTGCTAAGGGTGAGGCAGGCAGTGTACATGACCCTCTTGCCTCTACTTCCTAAGAGAAGTCCACCTCAGTGTCCTTTAAGAAAAACATGACAGGTTTCTACAGCTCTGAATAGAAGACCTACTGATCAATTCTAAGTGCACAAGGGCATCAACTATTTGTACTCTTTTCTTCCCATCAGCCAGCACAGAGGCCAGCCCAGAGAAGGAACCCCAAAAATACAGTGAATAAATGAACATAAAACATAACTGTCATAATCAGATCCTGAAAAAATGTAAGAAATAACATGAAGATTATGCTATTCATGCTCACTTGTCTCTATAAATATATTTTATAAAGCACCGTATTTCTTTTTAAAGACTATAAAAGCTCTTAGATTCATTGGGATTCCCATGGAAATTCACTTAGATACCAACAATAATTCTGTGTTGACTTGACCAGCTGAAGTAAAAAGAACCAGAGTCAGATTTCTATCATTAATGCACAGTTTTAGCTGAAGCCTTCCCACATTTGTAGTAATGATAATTGCAAAGACTTAGAATAATTCGCATGTATGGAACATTTACCAAGTATCAGGTGCTGTGCTAAGAAATTAATATGCATCATCTCAGATAATCTTCTCAAGAATTCAACAGGGTAGGTACAAATTTTCTCAAAATTTTATAGATGATAATACTGAGGCTTAGAGATACTTAGTAAGTTGACCTTGAATTGAACAAGTAAGTGACAGAACCAGGATTCAAGCCCATGCCTATCAAATGCTACAGTCTAGAGTCACAACCACTATACTCTATAAATGTTTGCCAGATTTCATTTCTGTGTCTTATTGTTTCAAAACATTTACTATCTAGTTGTGACTAAGTGTTAGCATCTGTTTTTGTCAGGGATGATTCTGTCAACTGATACCCACCACTGAGATCAACTGTCATCAGTAAAAAATGCTCAAGTGAATTTGCTTGATGGAAAATTTCTTTATAGCATGGTGAGCTCTTCTCTGTTCTGTGAATTTATGCCCCTCCTAAAATATGGCTGGGAACTGGAAAGTGGGGCTGTTATCACTTAAACAGATACCTGCTCCTATACCAGCACATCCAACACTAATTTGCAAATAGATGACCTGAAGATTTTGTTAAAATGCAGGTGTACCAGGTCTAGGGTGTGGTCTGAGTATTTCTAAAAAGCTACTGGTAATGCTGATCAAGTGTAGTCCATGAACCAGCAATAAGTATCAAGGATCTAGAAAACACTAGAAGGCAGAATCTAGATTAATTCCAAGAGAGAATAATAGGTGTGGAACAGAACATACTTTAGCTAAACAATAAAAGAAAGTAAGCTAGAAAAAGCCTAAAGGGCATGACCCTAGGCTTCAAACAAATCTAACAATCTAATCTGCAGGGCATAATCTTGGTGGGCATTGACACCATCTAGCTTCTTGAACAATTACATCCATTCATATAAGCAGCAGCACCTACACCATCAATGTTGTTTAGTATCCTTGGTAACCAATCCTCCAGCTTTGTAGCTATCCTTTCCAAACCTCAGCTCCATGGGAATGGTGATGGGTCAAGTTCATGGTCCAGTAACAAAGCCCTCAGGGGCATGAAGAGGGGCCTCAGTAAAGAAAAAGTCATGTGAAAGCCCCAGCAAAGAGCCCTGAGGTACAGAACAGGATGAGTAAGACCCAATCGCTGACCCCTTATAATGTAGAGTGCTTCTAACTTTTTAATATTTCTTGTTACATGATCAGCAGAGAAACAATACACTTGAAGTGAGGCAAGCAAAAATGGACTGGCTCGTTTAAACAACAGCATCATATAACAGGACTCCACAAAGAAAGAGAAACCACAGATCAGAGGTATGTATGTGTGTGTGTGTGTGTGTGTGTGTGTGTGTGTGTGTGTGTGTATAGATAGATAGCTAGATAGATAGATGTGTATGTATACATGTCCATATATGTGCATATACATATACAGAGTAAAAGATTAGCAGGCCTCACTCCGCAACCTTAGCTTCACAATGTGTTTTTCAGCCACTTCCACAATATTAGCCATTTCACCACCCCCAAGGACCTGCTACATGAATACTGGCAGTCCATGGACCCCCCCAAGGGTTCTTGCCATTTATTTGGGTGCTTAAATGTGCAGGTATTATACCCAATGCTTTACATACATTATCTTGTTTATTCATGCAACAAACCTATAATAGGGATCACTTCTTCCAGCCAACAGATGAGGAAACTGAGATCAAAGCCACAAAGACTTACATTCCCCTCCTTTTCAAAGTCAGGTGGCAGCAACTTCACGAAGTTATCAGGGAACACTCCTCGTCTGCCGTTGAGCTCTCCTTCCCACCAGCCTATATCGATGCAATCCTAGGAAACAGGAGAACAGAGAGTGAGAAATAGGGCAAGCATGCTCCAGACAGGTCTGACATCACTTTTAGAGAGATCGGAGACCCTTTCCTTGAGGCCACTATCCATGCAACAATGGGTACTAAGACAAAGTCAGCACAAACCCCAAAGTCAGATGAAAGAACAAAAGTTTAAGTGTGCTAGAGCTTTTGGCTGAGACTCAAAACCCACTGCTGCTTTTAGATGCCCTGAATCAAAAATATCTTTCCCCCCCTTTAAATATTTTGGAATATACGTGTTTGTTTTTTTTCTTCTTCGTTTTCATTCTACGGAAATAAAAATATTTCATTAACTGCAAACATGCTTTAGAAAACATCACATGCACAAATGCCCTCTTTGATTAGCTGGTTGCAAAGTGTCGAAATTCAAGAGGGCTTTCCGACAGGTAGCCAAGCATAAGAAAACTGATACTTTCCACAAGCTCATTAATGCACCGCTGCTGCTGTCCTTCACCTTCTCCTTTCTATGTTGATGAGACACAGTTGTCAACATGAAAAGCCTTTCCCCCACCTTACAGAATTCATTGTTTGCTTACTAAATTAATGAGTAAATCTGTTTTATCTTCCAGATCAAACCTGCTTCCCCTTGAGTAATCCCTGTTCTGTTCATGCACTGGTCAAACATTTACTGAGTGCCTACTCTGTGCCAGGTGCTAGGGAGAGAACAAGAGGCAGCCTTTGGCAAACTTTCATCCTGAGCCTAACGGCCTCATGGCTCTCCTTATGCCACAGAATCACTTCTATTTTCCTCCATATCCAATTGGTTGGAAATCTGATTTGTTCTAGTTTATAACCTATCTTACGTTTTTCTTCTGGGTCCAATTCCACTTCTACGACTTCAATCGAAGGCTCTCCTGGCCTGCTGTAAATGTCCTCACTTGGGCATTTCTTTATGCCCAGTGTATATAAAATACACACACCACTGGTAAGTGTGCATCCTTCAGTAAAAATCTGGTCCTCAGACTTATCAACTTCCAGCTAAAGTCCAAAATGAATGAAGGCTTTAAAAAAATACTAGGAACACAGAGGACTTTTAAAGTTACATCTGAAGCAGGAAATGCTCAAGAAAGTGAGGAGATCATGTTTAGAGGTCATGAAGAGACCTCATAGTCCTCCACAATACCAGGGCCAGGAGGGCTCAAACAGCAGATGTGCAGCTGGCTTTGGACTTGGCCGTCGGGCCCTGGAGGTCCATGACTTATGTAACTCACTTGTGCCTTGCTAGATCATACATTCCAGCAAAGTGAGGAACACATGTCACTTTTCGCCATTATACCTCGAGTCCATTACACAAAGCCAGAAATAATAAATATTTGTGGAATCAATGAAGACTCTTGCTAATTCTGAGTTCTGTGATCTCCTGCTATTTAATACTTGGACTGCTGCAGGACAAGATAGCCTCCGTATACCTTAACTCATGATGATTCTACGCAAGTTAACATAAGGCCCATCTCAGGTGAGAAGTGTCCACCAGCATCCCTTCCCCCAGTGGTTTCTGTTACAAGGATAAACTGAAATTTCAGAAGGGAATATGGGTTTTAGAAATGGGCCCTTAATCACAGACCAAATACCAGTTCCAACCAACACTGCAAAATAGACACTTGAAGCAATCAAGTTCATATTTACCCAGAACAATACAAGATTTAAAAGACTTCCAACATGAGAGCATGCTTATCTTCCTTGGAAAATAACAATGAGAAGTGCAGGTATGTATTCTGGTCCTGACCTCATCACATCCCCTAAACCTGTGGTTGGCAAACTGCAGCTTGCGAGCCACATGTGGCTCTTTGGCTCCTTGATGTGGCTCTTCCACAAAATACCACGGCCTTGGTGAGTCTATTTTCAAAATGTGGCATTAGAAGAAGCTTAAGTTTTAAAAATTTGGCTCTAAAAAGAAATTTCAATCGTTGTACTGTTGATATTTGGCTCTGTTGACTGAGTTTGCCAAACACTATCCTAAATGATCTAGCATCAGTCCCCAAAAAAGGGATTCATGAACAGGGATGGTGGTGGCAGGTTGTGATGATGGCTTCTGAGGCTCTTCTAACCCTGAGATGTTATATCAGGAACAATACCAGAAAAGTTTATGGGGCTGGAATTTGTTTAATACTAATTGTTAGAAATTGTTTTAGTTATGAGGATCTGCTTCTAAGGAAATGCCTGGCACATTTTTTCCTCCTCTTTCTCTGGACAAGTCCTTCTCATCTTCAAAACCCACTTGAAACTGACCTTTAAGAAGGTGACTATGATGAATGATTTATCTTTTCTCTAACATTCTATGTTAATTTGCACTTCATGATATTCAATTCAACAGATAGCTATTAAGTGCAAAATATTCTAAGGTTGCTCTGTAGGCACTGAACATTAAACATGCAGAGAACACGATCCTTAAACCCAGAGAGTTTAGAGATTTATATGAAAGACAGACACACAATATTATACAAGGTCCTTTTTGGTAAACCCATATTAACAAGAGATCTGGTACCAAAGAGTAGAGAATCATTAATAGCTTTTCAAAAAATCTTAAATCTTTTCATGTGTGAAGGGTTTACTTATGTGAGGACTGGACTTGCCTTCACAATTATTTCTGATCACTTAATAGAGAATTATGCCCACAAAAGTCACTCAAATACTGTATAGTACTATATTTTTTCATATATATATATATATATATATATATATATATATATATATATATAACTCCTGTGCACAAAATTGTTGCATGGGGGGCGGTGTCCCTCAGCCAGGCCTGCACCCTCTCCAATCAGGGACCCCTCAGGGGATGTCCAACTGCTGGTTAGGACAGATCCCACAGGGACATCCCTCTCGCAATCCAGGACCACTGGTTCCTAACCATTTACCTGCCTGCCTGCCTAATGCCCCCAACTGCCCTCTCCTGCCAGCCTGGTCACTCCCAACTGCCTACCCCTGCAGGCATGGTCACCCCCACCTGCCAGTTTGCACCCAACTGTCCTCCCCTACTGGCCTGGTCACTTCCAACTGCCCTTTCCTGGTGACCTGATCTCGTCCCCAACTGCCCTCCCATTTCAGCCTAGTCGCCCCCAACTGCCCTTCCCTACCAGCCTGATTGCCCCCAATTACCCCCCTGTCAGCCTGGTCACCCCCAACTGCCCTCTCCTGCTGGCCTTATTGCCCCTAACCCCCTGACAGCCTTATCTCACCCCTAACTGCTCTCCTCTGCGGTCTGATCACCCCTAACTACCTCTGCCTCAGCCCCCACCACCATGGCTTTGTCCAGAAAGAAGTCAGACATCTAGAAGATGGCCAGTCAACCCATTCTAATTAGCATATTACCCTTTTATTAGTATAGATTATATAGGATAGGATTGCTTAAATGGTGGTGGGGGGGAGCCTTTTTCATCAGGAGAAGATGCTCTTGGCAGACAAAAATACATAACCCCTCTATCTGGACTGATGTACTATACTGCCAAAGGGTCATTAAAAAATTGAACTGCTTTCTTACACCTTATACCCACCAAACAGCTATTGCACTTAAAACCCCTCCTCAGCCCCTACCTTAGGTTCTGCCATCGCAGTTCACCTAGATTTGGTTCTGATTGGTCAGTTTCTATGCCAGTCAGTGTCAAAAGCTCTGCCTCCTAGGCAGTCATTGGCTCCTCTGGGAAATCCAGAATGGCCCTGCCTTCACTATCCCTTCAGTAACGCCCCCATTCCGCTACAGGGTGTATCAGTGGTTGCTCTGAGAAGCCAAACCTCAGGTCTGGGCTGATGGCAATTTTGAATTCTCATCACTGACTTAACCTTCCTACAGTGCGAGCTCTGTGAAGGCAAGCATTTGTCCTGTTCATTATTAGTTCACTCATAGACTTTACCTGTGTCTATACATCTATGCTAGCACTGCATGGTGACCAAACAATTGTTTTGGTCGTCATGGACACTGCCTGTATATATATATATAAAACACACACACACACACACACACACACACACACACACACACACACACGAGGCCTGATGCATAAAATTCATGCAAGAGTAGGCCTTCCTTCCGCTGGCTGCCAGCACGGGCTTCCATCTGGCACCTGGGACCCGGGCTTTCCTTGCAGCCCTGACTTTGTTCAGAAGGTCATCTGGAAGGACATCCAGTCTAATTAGCATATTATGCTTTAATTAATATAGATATATATTACAGAAAAGAAGGAGAGAGAGAGAAACAGCAATGATTGAAAGAGAATCATTGATCAGCTCCTTCCCTACAAGCTCCCTACCAGGGATCTAGCCCATCGCCCAGGCATGTGCCCTAACTGAGAAGTGAACCATGACCTCCTGGTTCATAGGTGAATGCTCAACCACTGAGCACACCAGCTGGGCTGCTATATATTTCTTTTTAAAGGTGATTTGACTTTGGGTGGGTAAACACACAATGTAATATACAGTATCATAGAATGGTACACTTGAAAGTTATATAAATTGAAACCCAATAAATTTACTTTTTAAAAAAGGCTTTTTTTCAAACTTTCTGAATGGTGCAAATCCATTCTTTGCCTTAGGCTTATGCAAACAGTAACCCAAGAATCACTTTAATGAAGCCTTTTGCTTTATATGTGGGAGAAAATAATGAAATTGTAATAAGCAAAAGCATATTCAGAATGACTTTAGTACCAATGTATGCCTCCAGGGGAAAACAGTGCATATCAGATTATACTTATTATATCTCCCATCAATGGTGAATGGCTTAAATTGCTCATCTATACTTTGCATTTTGGGGAAAACACTAACAGTGCTAATTATTGTGTAAATCAAGGTAAGAGAGGGAAAGATCAAGACAGAACACAATCTACTTGTTCTGATTACTATAAGAACAAACAAAAGGCTCGTAGATGAGATAAGTACATTAAAAAAAAGAAGAAGAAAACTGAGTGGTTGAGTGTTGACCTATGAAGCAGGAGGTCATGGTTCGATTCCAAGTTAGTGCATATG